ATTTTTTTTATATTTTTGGAAGTTCGTTATTTTGGCTTCTATAATAGAGAAAACCGTTGCTTCCTATGGATTCTACTATTTCAATAATATTTTAGAAATTATAGGTGCAATAAAAATGTATTCCTTTCCGAGAAAATATCAAACCGTGAATTCAATTCATGAAATTTCTTATTTAATATGGGGACTAAATACTACAACCAACAGATTCTATTTGACGAATTCAATTGATATATTTAATAATCAAGTTTAGATTTTAAACTAATTTTTTAAGTGAATTGAGCATTCAACTTCTAGATCTAAAAAAGTTTATCAAATTCGGGATCTTGGTAGGTTTTTAAATGCTACCGAATATTGAAAATAAGTACAAATCCGAGATCCATTTTTTCAAGTCATACAACTCAAATTTTAGATTGAGTTTTGGAAGCTGATCATTGTTTTTTCCACACCTGGATTTTAATTTTTGAATCATATTTTAAGTCATTTTTTCCAAACCCCAGGATATCTTAAGTCACATTATAAATGTCTTATTTAGAATTTTTTAAATGTTTCTTACTCTAAAACCTCTGGGTTGAAGATATTTTTTTCAAAGTCCAGGATCATAGAAAAATTGGAAAATTCAGGATATTGAACAATCTTCTTAATTTGTGATAATGAAACTTTTTACAAGTACGGGGTTTTTTTTTTTAAATTACGTCAAGCTCGAGATGTTGCTCAGTCTGAAATCTTTTTAATATTTCAAAGCCCGAGATTTGTTTTTTTTCAATTCAGGAAAATGTAAAACTTTACTTTGCGCCTTAAATTTGTTTTTTTTTCGAAAATTGAAGATCCTAATTAAGCTGTTTCCAAGTCCGAGCTCCGATAAATTTCAAATGACCCGCAACCTTAGTTTTTTTTTGACTGGGGTCTTAAACAAAACTAAATTCAAAATTCAAAAAAAAATCATGAGAATCAAACCTTGCAGAACGTTCTGGTTAAGAATATGTATTTAAAAATATTTATAACTCCAGAATCCAAATGGTTCATGTCTTAGATCTTCAAAAAATGTTTAAAGCCCAAATTGATCCTGGATTTAAATAGTTCAAGTATAAGACATCTTAAATAAATGCACCTTGCTTCATGATTGGTGATATCATTATAGTTTGTAAAGCAGTTATGAATAAGGATTGCTTGTAGTAGTAAGCATGACTGCTTTCTCACCCCAATGGGTCTGGGTTCAATCCCAGCCGAGGTCGGTGGGATTTTTCTGAGGCATAAAAATCTCTGGTCACGTCTTTCTTCGGAAGGGAAGTAAAGCCGTTGGTCCCGGCCCATGTGTGTTGTGAATGGGTGCGATATCCTACGCAGGTGTGGAAGCTGCCTTCCTGCACATTCGATTGCCATCAATGGATGGCAATCGATGTCCGTCGGTGATTGGCACTAGATTGCGGAACAGAGACCGACGTTAAATAAAGGAATGAATTAAATAGTTCCCTGAATTTAAAGACAACTTCTGAGTTTCCAGGTAATAAATAAAATTATCTGAGATTCCCTGATTTTCCAGATTTTTTTTCAGATAGTCGATACCCCGAAGTAGCACATTTACAATAGTTCACTCACTAGAACCATCAAGAAATCAACGAAAAATGTAGAAAACAACTTACTATATTAATTTGTTACATTATAACTTGTTTTGATCAATACTTTTACTTTATTTCGAGTCTTCACTGGAAGCCGAGAAGTCCTCTGCACTACCACGTGCCTGAAAAAAAGCCAAGAATATTCCAGCTGAAATCTGAAAAGAGCTTTGAGAAAATTTTAGGATGATTCTAAGTCAATCTTTAAATTTGTCGATTCTAAGGAAATTCTTGGAATACCGTGAAGGTAGTTGAGGATTATCAAGATGAATTATCTTAGATGCCTGACTTCGAAAAAGTTTTGCAATCCTCTACATCGAAACCCTTGACTGCATTGTTGTTCAATAGTGACCAAAACCACATGTCTCGTTGTGTTTATCAGAAAAAAAATCCGTACCCTATTGTCAATGGGTTCTTGAACTTTGCGAAAATCGATTTATGCATTCATGAACCTGTAGGCTTGTGATGGCATCAAAAACAAATTAGGTGACGCGCCATAGGCACGAGACGAACCTCTATTAATGTGCCACGCCCGTAAAAATGCCAGACGACAAAGTGAAACGCTTAGTCGTACACTACAATCCACTATATGTGAAACAGCGAGCATAAGAAGCAACCCATTGTCATGTCATTAACATAATTCAATTGGGTTGACACTCGGTGCCTTTCCAATACTGACACTGGAAATAGTCTTTCCTTGTTTTCGTTCAATAAACGACAAATACCTAGATTGAACTTTCTACAAATTGAGCGCAGTAGAAAAATAGCCAACCGTGCGGCAAATGCACCCGACCTAAGTCAAAAGAGAACTCTAACGAAATCGAAGCATAACAATGACCGTGATTCACAGTCGCGCAAAGGGCCTGCATACCTGCTAGCTGATCTTTGTGACCTTCTGACCGACCGCCCAACGGACGGTCGAACGATTGATGTAACTTCAATCAGTGTGTATACAGTGTAGCAATCGTAAACAGAAGGGAACAGGTGTGTTAAATTCAATCTCGCGGCTGAAGCACGATACCAATCATTTATAGTCATAGAAAGGGACCACTTGCGCTGCAATGAAATAAATCTCACGCGTTAGATAACTAGAAGTGCCAGTTGTAGCAACAGTAGCAGCAGCGGTAGTTGTGCTGTAGAGGTGAATAAATATACGTGAGAGAACCGGTTATGGACCCATCCGCAGCAGTTAGAAGAATCGAAAGATTCTTATAGGCAATAAAAACATGGCCTTTCACGGCCATCCTGAAAAATGGCTTTATGATGCAGATTCCAAAATTTTGCACGGCATGGTATGGGAGAGAAGCTTATATTTTTCGAATGTTCAAATTTATTTGATTGTTACTGTGGGGGATAAAAGTCGAAATCTACCTAATTGAAACACTTTCAACAACTATTTGCGAGATTTTGAAATCTCATGCCGTTTAGCAAGATGGCCGCAAGAGGCCAGGTTTTAATAGCCTATACACATTCAGACACTCAACAGATTTGTTTCATTCAGAAGATATAGGTTACTGGGTAAAGTTTGGAGAGCAGCACTATTTAGTAGATATTGAAAGAACAAACCTAGATAGAGCTGGAATTAGGGCGTAACAGCCTTTACAAACAATTACTTCTATCGATGATGTCTAGGAACTCAAGGCATATCCACGCAAATCAACATAACCGTCGGGTAGAAGAACTCTTCCCCTACCCGATGGTGTTGTTGATTTGCGTTTGCAAGCCTTAACTTTCTAGAAATCATCAAAGTAAGTCATTGTTTATAAAACCTGTTACGCCCTAATTCCTGCTCTATCTAGAAATAGAATGTAAATGTATAACTTGAAGTTCAATGCTATTGCGATCAATGGAACAGTTATCAATGTATCAATGGGACAGTAATCAATTGAATGCCGATTTGAATTGCTGTATGACAAACTATCGTATTAAAATTTATTACTTTGTGATATAGGGGAAATGGATGTATTGTTGGCCTAAATCCCCCTAATTTGGGCCATTACATAAATTCAGCAATCGACTAAATTTTCAATAGCGACCGAAAATATCCATTAGTATCGTCACAATGACGCGTTCATCTAGATAAAATTGATAAATAACAGATTTTAAGCGATAGGCCGAATCTTAGATCCAAGGGCCAACATTAGAGCCATTTCCCCTATATTAACGAGTTTATTTGCGAAAGTTGAAGGTAATTGCTAATTCAGTTTTCTAATGTCTAATGATCACTTAATACTTCATGGATATCGGAGACCAAAGCAACAGATATTAGGGTGATTCCAAATCTCCGTTTTCCACATTCAGATAACAAATAAAAATCAAAAAGTTCAAATTATGGGAGGATAAGAATTTATTCTACACAGCAAAAAATAAATTTTAATATTACATCCAAAAGGATGCACTTCAATCATGTCGAAAATCTCATGTAATTTTTATGGTCACAACAATAAACAAATGCAGTAAAAGCAGCGTAATGTCAGTTCATGCACTGTATTAATGACAATTTTACCCTTTTTGGCAAGTAATATTACACCATATTTTCGACACGATTGAAGTGCATCCACTTTGATGTGATATTAAAATTAATTTTTTGCTGTGTAGACGAAATTGCGATTGGTGGAGCAAAATGGATAGACGGAACCACCCTATTGTCATCTTGCGGTTAAAATCAATTGATGACAAAATGCATTGCAATTTTCTTCCTAACTTTAGAAAGCTACAACCTCAACCACCGCAATGTATTGAGTGTAGTCATAAATAGTAGTAGTTTGTTCATATCTGTCACTCGATGTTAGTGCTCGAAAATCAATACACGAGAGGCAATTGCCACCGGCATTGATGGTTTTATATTTCCGCAGGGCTAGCAAACAGACTCAAAACAAAATCACAACTTCTAAAACGTCTTGCATTGTTTTAGGTTCCCATTAGAAAACGCCCTTCTACTAGTGAAACATGAACATAGGTACAGTTGTTGAAATGAATTCACATAACACAACAAGCAAAGCTAATTCAATTAAGCACCCACCAATTTTGATGTTGTCAAAAACCAGAAACCCTAGAAATAATCACAAACAACTTATAGGTAGCTAATTCCTAACAGCCCCTGTAATTTATCCATATTTTTTCGGAAGTCACCTTATGAAATTATTCTCTGAACGTTTTGCATAAATGAATAAAAACACCGAACTTGTCAGTCAACGGCACGCAGTGTGAAACATCACCAATTTGTGGTAATCATGAATGCTGATGACAATAGACCTAATTAGCAATTAGAAAAATTATCTTACCGGCTAATATGCGCATGTGAATGTGACCGATAAACTACTGTTGCGTCTTTCTGATAACACTGCAAGGAATAACCAGTGACTTTGGGATGTTCTTGTCTTCTAGAAATTTCCCGCCTCACAATGGCCAGCCACGAGCAGGGTGGAACCGATCAGACCGATCGAGGGCTACGGAAGGAATACTTTGGTAATGGTGGTGGTTTCGGAAGGTTTCTGCCTCCCGTTTTCAAGCTGCTCGAGTTGGTAAGTTTTGGTCTTTCAGAGAATTAGTCGTTAATGTACTTTAGATCAACCTAACCAATCGTAACTAATTACACTGTGCAACACGACTTTCTAGAACAGGTTTTATTGTACCACTTTTTATGACTTTCTTTAATTATCCTGAGTTAACAACTAGAATATATTTTAGCCCTAGCACGTCATGTTTTTTAGGAACCGCTCCCAAAAGACATTAAATATAAGAAATATCACCGAAATGAGGGGTGAAAGTGATAGCGGTTTTCATAAGTTCTAACTAAATGTGCCTTGCGTCATTTTCTACACAGCAAAAAATTCTGAATTTTAATTGTAATATTAATATTCATTCACGTAAACTTGTATTTCATATAACGCAAACGAGCAACTTGTAAGCAATGTTGTTTACAAAGATGGGCTTTTGTATACAATATGTGCAACATTTCATGAAAAATCTCAGAACTTTGCACGGTTTATAATGTAAACTTATATGATATGTGACGCTCCTTTATGTGCATCATATTGAACAGAAATTTACTCTACTTTTTAGAACTGTGTACAAATGGTCCTTCCAGAACAATAGTGACGCATGCTTCGGTTGACAGTAAATGGCTGAAATCGTGAATAATATCCCGATTCAAAAAAGGGCGCTACCTTTCAATTGTGACGTGTTAGAGTAGGGTGGTTACTTAACAAAAAAGTGTTTGTAATATAATAAAGACTGTACTCGCAAAAAATTCAACAGACAAAAATGATCACCAAAAATTCATTATAAGTCGGATATTTTTGAAACTCTCAGGGAATTTTAACATATTAGCTATGTTTTTGCAAAGTTGGCTTATTCAACCTCCTCTCCTAGGCTAAATGCCCGCACCTTGGACTTAACGCTACCCATGAAATCATGTGCAACACTTGCGCCCAGTGCTGAGATTTGTCATTGTCATAGTCTGTCATGTCGCGCGATATTGACAAAATTGTTCGTCACATAGTCACTGACAGACTTGATCCTCAAAAAAACCTTCGTCAAAATCTCATTCATTTTTTCGTCAATGACGAAGATTCACCTGGTAACAAAAAGTGTAATTTAGTACATTCTGTGTCACATTATTGTTATCCAAGTAGCTCAGGACGTAGATACTTGTTCATTAAAATGGATCCATGTAATTGTTTTAGCTAATAAACAAATCTGCACATGTTCGTCACTGACACCATTGTCATTGACAATTGACATGGTTTGCCTTGACTATGACTGTTAGCTCAAATGAGTGACCAAAGGAGAATTGTCAATATCACCGTGTACTGTCGAGATTTTGCAGCACTGCTTGCGTAATTTTTCCCCCCAGTTTCATCCACTCTTTCATCAAATCCTTGCCGTTTTTGAAGACCTTCCTTCTTTTTCTATTGGACGAAGTTCAGACGAGTTTGGCGGATTTGTCTTCTTCGGCACAAAAACAACATCGTTGACTTCGTACCACTCCATCACCGGTTTCGCGTAATGGCACGATGCCAGATCCGGCCAAAACAGAGTGTAACCTTCGTGGGATCGAAGGAAGGATAGCGCTTTTGGAGGCATTCTTCCTTATATATTTGGCCGTTGATGGTGCCGGTCGTTATGTACGGCTTGCTGAATTTGCCGAACCCACAGATCGCCTGCAACACTAAGTACTTCTTGGCAAATTGGTCGACCTTCTTCTTTCGGAACTTCTCCGAAACATCCAGGCGGGACTTGCCGACGAAAAACTCCAGGCCGGGGATCTGCTTGGCTTCCGCTTTAATGTACGTTTCGTCGTCCATTACGATGCATTTCGGCTGAACCAACCGCTCGCAGTACAGCTTCCTGGCGAGGGATTTGGCCACCGTATTCTATTTATCGGTTCGGTTAGGCGCCTTCCTTACATTGAAGACATGAAGTCCGGCCCGCTTCATTGTCTGCTGGACGAACCAGACGGAAGAATTGACCTTCTTGACCACGTCCCGAATCGAAATTATGCAGATAGATTTTTTTTTTATATGTTTGTTGCTAAGGTTCTTTGATCTGAAGTTCAGAACGATTTGGAGAACCTAGAACATTTTAAATACATGAAAATGGATCATTTATGATTTGCATAGATGCTTTGAATATGCTGGGACACTGTTTAAGTCATGGTTAATTAAGAAGATCATCATGTCAAAACTCCAGGACGGTTTGGAGAACATTCTTTTATTTCTTATTCTTCTTCTTCTTCTTCGCATTTCAAGCTTGTTGTTAATCGCATATTAGCTGATTGTGTGCTCTCAACTAAGTGTTCTAAAAATGCACTTCCACAGTTATTAATTGAGAGCTTTCGATGCCAATACCAATGCATGACATTGTATATTGTATGACATATCATTGGCAAGCACAATGATACTCTATACCCAGGGAAGCAGAGAAAATTTCCATCACGAAAGATATCCTCGACCGGACCTGGGGTCGAACCCGCCGCCTCCGCACACTGGGACGAAATCAAAAAAAGTGGGACATGACCGAGGGGAACGACTCTATCTACGATGCAGGAAAAATTGTATTTTGTTGTGGTTAGCTGCGCACACGTTGAGTAGATAGAAAGAACATTGATGACGATTCTGAAGATTTCCTGCAAAAAGAAGATGTACAATTCCAGTAGATGCGAGAAATGAAAGAAGATTTTGCGAAGATTGATTCGCTAGTGTGAGATTTGTTGAGCATCTTTAATTGAGATTTAGATGTGTCGCCCCCTAGGACATGACCATTTGCGACGAAACTATTGAGTGTGCATTTTGACGTCTTCTAGAATGTTCCTTTAATTTTTAAGTACTTTGGTGGTGAATTTTTTTGCTTTGGGTATACACTAAGATAAAAAATACTTTTTTTCTGTCTTGTTAAAATCGATGAACATCTATGAAAACATTAAACATGACACCATTTTAAGAAACTTTGTCGAACAGTTTTTTTTTCCTTGATTTGTTTCTCTTCTTCTTCTTCTTCTTCTTCTTCTTCTTCTTCTTCTTCTTCTTCTTCTTCTTCTTCTTCTTCTTCTTCTTCTTCTTCTTCTTCTTGTTCGCATTTCAAGTTTATTGCTTAGTGTATATTAGCTTATTGCGTGCTCTCAACTTATTGTTCTAAATGCACTTCCACAGTTATTAATTGAGAGCTTTCGATGCCAATACCAATGCATGAATTTGTATATTGTGTGGCAAGCACATGATACACTATACCCAGGGAAGTCGAGAAAATTTCCAACCCGAAAGATTCTCTCGACCGGACTGGGAATCGAACCCGCTGCCTCCGGCTTGGAAATACGTGCCTTTACTGACTAGGCTATGAGCCTCTGTTTGTTTCCCGTCGACCTTATTTTCCGTGCTGAGCACCAATGCTACAGTCGCCAGAAAGGTAGCTCTCACACATGAACCCTACCTATCGACCCATCAACTCATAAATCTAGGACCAACGGCTTTACTTCCTTTCCGAAGGAAGGCGTGATCAGAGATGTTATGCCTCAGAACATCCCGGCGCCGCCGACTGAGATTGAACCCTGGCCTGCTGGAGTGAGTTTGGTTTTGTTAAGGCTAATTTGATCTTATCCAGGATATTTGGACGTTTTCTGGACTAAAAAAGTAACCATAAGTTTACAAATCTTAAAAATGTACTTTTTTGCTATAAAAATTTATAACGGTTTGTTTGCTATTTTTGACAAAAATTTGCGGTTTTGTTCCAGCGCGTAGTTTTTTTTTCTGAAAAGGCAATCCAGTTTCCTACAACTTTATCTTAGTCGTCATTTCGATTCGAACTGTTTACGTTGCTACGATTTATTGAAAAATATCGATTGCGCCATTTTTTTTTTGTACCGAATTCCAGGACAAATTGTGGTTTATTGCACCTAGCAAACAATAATTATGCGAAATTTTATGGAATTCTGATGTGCCATTCCATAACAGATATAGTGGTTCTCCGAATTTCGTAAAAATTTGTGGTTTGATTCCTTATTGCAAAATATTAGACCCTTATCTTTTTATTTTGTCGTATACTACCCATAATCGCATATCTGTCCCATCTTTGCTTGATTTCCTATCCATATGGGACTGATATGCGTTTATGGGCAGTATACCATTTCCATGTTAGGTGGTCCAAAAATCGATTTTTTTTTCAAAAATGACTTTTTTCAAAAATTTATACCCTGGGCTGATTTAAAATGAAAGATAATTAAAAATACTTTTAAATATAAGAATATTAAAAAAAATGGGATGTTGTATTGAAAAACATTGATTGTATTTGTTTTTTATATATTTGTAATGGTATGTAGACAGAGGGCACAAAATGTTTTTATATTTTTTATTACAGTTTAAGAGGGGGGGGGGGGGGGGTTGCAATTATCTACGGCCCATTATAAAAATTGTGTATGGACAATTGTCTACGCAAGGGGAAGAGGGGTAGGAGGTCAAGAATCCCAAAAAACTGTCTACGTAGTTAATGAACAGCGATGTGTTTTTTTTTCGTTTTTGAGTTATCAAGTTTTGGGATTTTGCTTAATACTCCTATGCGACTAGACTACCATGCGTCTTCATTGAAACATAGCTAACATAGTCACATAATCTATGCCTATATGATTTGCTTTATATTTATTTGAGCGGAAACCCAAAAAAAAAAATATAGCTCAAAAACAAACAAAAAACATCGCTAATTTTTTATATGTTTCAAGGAAAAATATAAAAACATATTGCGCCCTCTGTATACAATCATGAAAAGAAAGTCTCCTTAATAAAGATATAAAAAAAATCATGAAAACCATAAAAAAGAACAAATCCAATCAATGTTTTTCAACACAAAATCCCATTTTTTAATATCATCATATTTTTCAATATAAGGAAATACGGGTCTAATATAAGGAAATACGGTCTAATATTTTGCGATAAGAAACAAAACTACTATTTTTTATGAAATTCTGAGAACCACTATATCGTTCAATTTTTCATATTCAAACATCAAAAGACCTAACCTTACATTTGAATTGAATGATCACCAAACGTCCAGTGATAGTTACATTCATGAATCATCGGACGCTATGAATCACCATACCTTCGCAAGTGCGGTATGAATCGTGTGCTCGATTCCTCTGTTAGAAGTAATTACCACGGAGCCGGTCAGTAGACCTCTGGCATTTTCCATTATTAACGAGTCGATTGTTTTCGTTCCCTGTGATGATAATCACGTGTAGTGAGGTTCTATGGAACGCACGATATGCACCTACTACCATCTTCATAGTTTTCACAGCGTCGTTGTCGTCGCAAAACTGCGCAGCAGCTTGGTGTAAATTACATGTGTGGAAGATCGCGATAATTGCATAAGATCTGTTATTCTTGAATGCTTGAAAATACATGCATCTTGCGTATGAATATCTACAACCAACAGTACTTAATCCATCCAATCAATGGATGGATGTCTTTGGATGACTAGGCATAACAGATCATCAATAATGTTTGCTTCAAATCTTGCTACGAGTACATACGGCGGTGAGCGCAGAAATTGCCCGTTGGCACCGAGTGGGTGGCACAAGAATGCACTAGCATGTAAGTGCACCTACGTAGGCAATTATTACTACGGCAACACCTCGTCTGGCAAAGTAACCCAACCAAATGATAATTTTATAACTTCCTTTTTTCTATCTGTTACCAACCCTATAATTGCAGGCAGTTGCCATTATCTGTATTGGCCTCATCGACGACCCAGCCAATAATTCTCGGCTTCGACCATTCGCGGCAGCACGCACAATCGCTCTGGCTTATTCCACATTCGTGCCCTTCTTGATCTTCTCGGTGATCTATCTGTTCGGCAAAGTCATCAGAGAGAAGTAAGTCCTAAGCAGCGATCCACAACCGGTGCTAAATCATATTCTATTTACCAAACAGTATCCCGTGGAAGCTACAATCGTTGCTGAATCTGACGGCATTTATTCTGTACCTGGCATCGGCCGTATGCATCCTGCATGACTGGTCGGAAACGAAAAATCGAAATTATTGGCCACCTAATACACAACGGTGAGTTGCTCATGTTCGACGTTTCATGGCATCTACAACTAACTAACTAAGGTATTTTGTTCCCAGAATGGATTTCTTGTGTGGCGCAGGTTCGGTTGCCGTCGTTGGTGCTGTACTGTACCTTTTGGATCTTATTGTTACAACCAGGTTGGGTGCGAAGGGTGACATTGAGTAATTTAAAGGAAGTTGCGTAATTCTAGTTGTAAATATACCTACATACTGAAAAGGCGACGCATTTCCCCTATTGAGTAGTCACATAACGATTAAATAGTCCGCAGGATTCACTCTAATCGCAGTAGAACTACTACAGAATCTCTTTCTTTTTACCGAGGACATGTACACTTACGGACCAAAAACTAGATATTAAGATTAAATAAAAGTAAATTTTAAATTATGTTATACCTACTATACTAATGAAACCGTCCAAGCATTTCAACATCGAATAGTAAACGATCGAAAAGTAAACGAGCAGATGAACCTCATACACAGTGGGAGTAAATTTTTGAGGTTTGAAGCCATACATAACATTTGTTAAACTGCAGAAAGAATGTACAAATTACGCACTTTGAGTTTTGATAAATTTTAAATCATTTGCAAGCCATTTTAATAAAATATTAAAAGATAACAAAATAATTTTACTGACAATATGATGACTAGGTAGCGTAAACAGCGGCGCCGATGGTGTAGTGGTAAGCGTGATTACCTCTCACCCCAGCAGGCCTGGGTTCAATCCCAGTCGGCGCCGCCGGGATGTTTTGAGGCATAACATCTCTGATCACGCCTTCCTTCGGAAGGGAAGTAAAGCCATTGGTCCCCGGTTCATGAGTTGATGGGTTTATAGGTAGGGTCCAGGTGTGGGAGCTGCCTTCCTGGCGTCGGTAGAATTGGTGCTCAGCACGGAAAACAAGATCGACGGAAAACAAACCAAAGGAAAAAAAATAGGTAGGGTAAATGACGGCTTCGAGAGGCAGTAGGGTTGCCGGATCCTTTTGTGAGAGTACCGGTATTTTGGTACTTAGAAGTTCAGTACTTGTAATACCGGAAATTACCTGTACCCAAGGATTTTAATTCAAAAATACGTGAAAGGTTTATGTTTTTTATGTTCGAAATGCCATTTATTCATTCAGTCACGTAGGAACGATATAAGGATATTCTGCATTATACTTCGTTTCCCATGCGAGAAGAAATTATAGTTGGTTGATCAAGAATTTATTGATTTGTCGGTGAAGCTTTGGAGTTGATTGACTGTGTCTGTGTTATAAGGAAAACGCTCGTGTGGTTACTTTTTTTCGTAGTGAACGAAAAGTAGAAACCAGTAGAGTTTAGTTCAGTAGAGTAAATGGTAGGGCAAAAATTCGACCATAGTTCAGGATGGGCACTGAATTTAAGAAATTAAATTCCCGGTTTTTCCCGGGTGCCCAACATATTTTTCCCGGTTTCATATAAATAGATAAGGTAAACGCTCCTACAGTTGCATTTCGTTAGAACCGTTAGGATCCTATAGTTGCGTCTACATAAATATGGTAAAAAAATGAATACAGGGTGTCAACGCAACGAAGAAAACCATATTCTTTGATAATCCCTGATTTTCCAGCAATTTAAAAAAAAAACAAGGTGCAGTGCCTACCCGTTTTTGGCAGCACAACCCAATCAGCTATTACTTTCCTCAGATATATATTAGTGCTTTCTGGACATTTTTTCGTAAAATACCACACGGACCTCTAACCTATGAAGAGTGGTCTAGTACAATTTCAAATTGAATAAAGCGTTCGATACATTTAATAGAATGAAAAAAAGACAGCCACACGTTGGGCAGCGCTGGTCTAAAGCAAGCAGCCAGGGTGTGGAATCAGAAGCTGCATGATAAACTTGAATGGGCTGGTTTCGAGCGGTGCAAGTAGGATCCGTGCTTGTATAGGAAGAGGAGGAGCGGTCGCTGGTGCTACGTCCTAGCCTACGTCGATGATCTGATTGTAACAAGCGAGGAACGACAACTGGCTGAAACGCTAATTAGTTCCTTGAAGCAGTTTTTCGAGATTAGCTAACTCGGAAATATTCACTACTACCTGTGTATCGACGTTGAAAAAGACGTTAAAGGTTATTTCTTCTTAAATCAACGAGGTCTTCGAGTCGAGTGGTCTGGCAGAAACAAGATGTCCAGTATTTTGCTTGATCCAGGATACGGCAAGAAAGAGGATGTTAGTGAACCGTTGCCAAAGAACAAGGAATATCAGAATCAGTCCGCATCGTGCTCTCTTGCCGTGCGGATCTATTTGCTTTTTGCTGAAGGAAGTGTTACTACTACCTAAAGCTACAACACATTTAAACAGCACTTTTCAGTGCTCAACCTGTAAAAAATTTTCTACCTTGTTCAACTCTTATTCCTCTTCGATCCTTGTTTGGACCCTACCCGAGGTAATCCTTCTTGGATATCGATTTGGAAAATTCCTCTTCGATCCTTCAGATTCTTATAGTAATCTGCTTGGAAGTCGATTTGGATAAAAATTTACTGCAGCCATGGCGCCTAAACGCAAAAGAAAGGGGCAAACTCTTGACCCCCCTTCTCATGAAATTAATTTGAGTAATCAATTTGATTTGCTCACGGATGATGAGAATGATCCATCATCCAAGAAAAATTCTAGTAAACTTTCCCGGCTTAATGCCAAGAAGGAAAAGATTCCCCCTATTGTGATAACCACTTCCGATTTCCATGCTCTTCGCATGGAACTTTTGAATTTCGTGAAAGTTAAGTTTTCACTACAAATTGGACGTCGGGGTGAATGCCGTGTATTGGCTGAAACCTTGGACGGATTTAAATGTCTTCTCAAGTATCTTACTGAGAAGAAGCACAAATTTTTTACTTACGACACCAAAACTGAACGTGTGTTCAAGGTTGTCATGAAAGGACTGCCCAGTGGTGAATCCCTGGATCAGATCAAAGATGAACTGACAAAATTACTTGGAGTTGTGCCACTCCAAGTAATCAAAATGAAAATGAAATCCCGTCCTGGCGATTCACGCAACGGGATTTCTAATGATTTTTATTTAGTTCACTTCAAGTCTAGTGAACTAAACAACCTTAAGGCCTTAGAAAAAGCTAGCCTTATGCTCCATGTCCGAGTGAAGCGGGAACACTTCAGGAAGACTGGAGGAAATTTCCAAAACCGCACTCAGTGCCGTAAGTGCCAGGGTTGGGGCCAGGGAACTAAAAATTGTTACATGCCAGCTAAATGCATGAATTGTGGTGATTCCTCTCACGCAAAGGACGACTGTCCTGTGAAGGAAGATCCTAAGAAATTTAAATGTTCAAATTGTGGTGAAAACCACAAATCCAATTTTTGGGAATGTAAGACTCGCAAAGCGATCCTACAATCTCGTTCTAAGCGACAGGTAGGAAACGCTCAACGTTTCCGACCAGGTACAAATTCCTCTGCTGTTAACAACGGTCAGCGAGGAACAAATTCTACATTCGTACCCGTAGGTACAAATATCACCCCTGCTTCAAATTTTTCATCTGTACCTACTCCCCTCGCTGCTAACAATGTTCAACGAGTTAATGGAGCTACCTATGCTGCTATTGCAGCGGGTAGAAATCAAAATACTAACCAAAGTAATTCTAACGGAAATTTTGACAATTTTGACTTAGGAAGCATTACTGCCCCTAAAATGGAATTTTTACAGAAATCATTAATTGACATGATTTCTGATATGCTTAAATCTAACTCCATGTTTGATGCTATTCAAACTGGAATAAAATTTGCAAATAATATTGTCATGACTTTAAAATTCAGTAATGGATTTTAAAGCATTAAATATTGTAAATTGGAATGCTCGATCTCTTAAAGATAATGAAGACGAGCTATTTAACTTTTTGAGAGTTCATAACGTGCATATTGCCGTTATAACTGAAACGTTCCTTAAACCTGACCATAAGGTTAAGAAGGACGCAAATTACTTGATTTATAGAAATGATCGTCTTGATCGACCCTGTGGTGGCGTTGCCATCATTATTCATAGACGAATCAAACATAAAATTCTTTCTTCATTTGAAACCAAAGTTTTTGAAACTTTGGGAGTTTCTGTTGAAACAAAATTTGGACAACTTACGTTTATAGCTGCCTACTTGCCATTCCAATGCGTAGGCAAGCAAAATAATTTTCTCAAGGGTGACCTTCATTGGTGATTTTAATGCAAAACACCACTCATGGAATAATGCTGAAAGCAATTCCAATGGTAATATTCTGTTTGATGATTCAATATCCAAACAGCCCAACATGCTTTTCTTCTGCAAGAAATCCCTCCACTATTGATTTAGTCTTAACTGATTCATGTCAACTTTGTAGCCAACTGGTTACCCATGCTGACTTCGGTTCTGATCACCTTCCAGTAACTTTTGAAATATCCCAAGAAATAATTTGTAATCCCAACAGCTCTACTTTCAATTACCATAGAGCTGATTGGGAGCAATATAGAACATTTATGGAATATAACTTCGATCCAGTGTTCACTCGGCTGTCGACAAAAGCAGGCCACTCTCGATGTGTGCTACGCGATCGTCTGTTTTCTCGGCAGCAACCATTGTGTGGTCCTCCTCATTGTTCTTCATCAGCAGTTCTTTCGGTCGATGCGTCGTCGACTTTGGAAAGCAACCGTTTCGTGATGAGTGTGTGAGTGCTGACCACGTTTTGTGTCCATTGCTGCAATGGACGCGCTCTGACCCTCGTTGGCATACAACAATTTGCCATACAATGAAACTACTGGAAGCAGCTCCAGTTCTGATGGAGGAGGCTTTTTGGATAGCGGAAGATAAAGTGTTTATTGTGTTGTACCTTTTGACTATATTTTTAAGATGTTTTGTATAGTGACCAAGAATTCTCGGCTCTGTAAAGTTAATTCGGTTGAGCCTTATCAAATAAATTAATAAACAAAAAAAAAAAACTTCGATCCAAACATTCCTTTGCAAACCAAAGATGAAATTAATTATGCTCTTGAATCTCTGACTACTTCTATAGTTGAAGCAAGAGCTGCCTCAGTACCAAAATGCGAGGTTAAATTCGATTCAATTATAATAGACGACGATCTTAAGCTTTTGATCCGTCTTAAAAATGTCTGTAGGAGACAATATCAAAGAACACGCGATCCTGCCATGAAGGTTATCTGGCGGGATTTGCAAAAACAAATTAAAAAGCGATTCTCTGCCCTGAGGAACAAAACT